TCTCGGTTTAGGCTTTATAGGCTTTAAGGGTTTAGGAGCTAGGGGTTAGAGTTTAGGAGTTTAGGTTTTATGGCCTAGGGTTCCGCCTCGAACTGCTGAATCCCAATTCTCAACAAACTCATCTCACTAGTTTGGGGTTTGGGGTTTAGGGTTAGGGTTTGGGATTTAGGGTTTGGGGTTTGGGGTTTAGGGCTTAGGGCCCCAAGGCGAAAAGGTCGTACTTAGTATCCTCGTGGGTTGGTGATATAAGTCCTGCATTACCTTTGAGGACCCAGGGTTTAGGAGGGCTTTAGGGGCTTAGGGGCTTAGCTTTTAGGGCTTAGTCTTACCTTAAGGAACCTAAACTATGGGAAGTATGGTATATTCCTTTGCATGGGCAATGCAGGATTTATATCATCAACCGTAGCGCGTGTTCAGTGATAAACTGGTAAACAAAGTACCGTACCCCTGGAATCTTGGCTGACTTCTGAACCCCTCCAAAAAGTTAAACTTTTAGCCTCCTTATTATGGTTCATCTAGAAACCCAAAAAGTTGAAGTCCTAAGAGCCAACCAGAAGAACACCAAGGAATGTACATTGTCTTCGTAAGTTATCGGACTCTTGGAGAAGGTCATGGTGCTGCGAGCTCCTGTTCCTAAGGTTACAGCAAGTTTTAGACCCCATACAATATCTGAAAGAGGCCCTCAACCCAAAACCCCATAAACCCTAAACCCTACAACCCTTTAAAACCTATAACCCTATAACAACATAAAAAAAATCAAAAACCCTAAACCCTCAACCCGAAAAGCCCTGAACCCTAAACCCCAAAAACCAAAAACCCTAAACCCCCAAAACCCTAAACCCTAAACCGTAAACCCCAAGAAACAATAAACCCTAAATCCCAACAACCCTAAACCCTAAATCCCACAAACCCTAAACCCTAAACCCCCCAAAACCCTAAACCCCAAACCCTAAATGCAACAACCCTAAACCCTAAACTCTATAAGGTCCTAAGCACCCGGCTAAGTCCCGGAAAGAACACCGTCGAAGGGCCTTCGAGGGTTTCTTGGCCTTCCGCGGTTTCGCCTTCCTGGCCTGGCATTAGGGTTTGGGGTTTGGGGTTTGGGGTTTAGGGTTTAGGGCTTAGGGTTTAGGGTTTAGGGTTTAGGGTTTAGGGTTAGGGTTTAGGGTTTAGGGTTTAGGGTTTAGGGTTTGGTAGGCTCTGGGGTTGAGTTTCGGGTTCAGGGTCGGGGTTAAGTTAAGGTCTATTCTCCTTTGAGGGTAGACAGAACATCTAGTTTGTTTGGAGTTGCGACAAAAGAAACGATGAAAACGAAAAACCCAAAGCTGAAAACGCAACCGCCCAAGACCGCACAGTACACTCCAAACCCTAAACCCTAAACCCTCAACCCCAAACCCTAAACTCTAAACCTTAAAAACTCGGAGCCCGCACCCCCTTGCCTTGGAAGCCACCTTCCTGCCACTCTTTTCCAAGTCATCCACGCTGCTGTCGCCTGCAGAAGATCTACGCAACGGTTGAATGTCCTAGCCCAAAAGGGGTTAAATTTGCAAAAAGATGTTGGATCAGAGAAGCCCCCCTAAACCCTAAACTCGAAACCATTAACCCCCAAAGGTTCAAGGTTACCTGCTCAGCCCCTGAGGTTCTGTAAACATAGACATAGAAGCCCTCAAAGGATCTCTTTTGCAGGCTGAGGCTTGACAGTTTGAGGGTTGAGGAAGTTTAGGTTATGTTCTTACTTCGCGTATAAGGCAAGGAAATAAAAGGTTAAGCTTTCAGATTGCTACTAAATTATAAGAACCCAAAAAGGTCAAAGGTTGGGGTACTGGAGAACTAAGTGTTCAAACCGCGGAACAGGCATCTTAGGGTTCATCGGGCTAAGGCCGAGTTTTCAGGAGTTCCTCTTTGGCTCTACTTCTACACCTTCCGTCAAGTTGTTGGGTTTGGCTGTCTCGAGTTTGGGAATCCAAAATTCTTGGGTTCAGTCTTGCAACCTTCCTTACGACGTCTTCTGATCCTTCAAGTAACTTCGTGTCGAGGGTGCAAGGGTGGACTTAGAAGAACCCTAAACCCTAAACACTCTCTAAACCCTAAGCCCCTAAACCTTAAACCCTAAACCCTAAACTCTAAACCCTAAACCTTAAACCCTAAACCCTAAAATCTATGCCCTAAAACCCTGAGGGTTGAAGCATAATCAGGGTTGAGGATGAAGGCTGTCACGATTTCGGTTTAGGCTTTTAAGAGTAGGGTTTAGAGGATTGAGGATTACGGGTTCAACAAAGGGCATAGGGTCTAGGGTTGAGGGTTTGAAGTTTAGGGTTTAGGGCTTAGGGTTTGAAGTTTTAGGTTAGGGTTTAGGAGTGGATTGCCTGTTGAACACCGTGGCAATGGTAATATAGAGCTGACTTGCGTTTAGACCTGGAAGTACAAGACGCTTCATGCACCAACACACTGAAGCACCTCAATCATAACGCGAACATCCCTAAAGCCTAAACCCTACACCCTAAACCCCAAAACCCGGTGCGCCTTGGTACACCTTGATGTACCTGAGCGCGCGTCAGTATTATTGTTCCTAGAAGCGGCCCCTTGACAAGGGGTATCGTTTTTGGGTTTCCCCTATCGTTTTACAGGACTTTGGGCACATGACTGTATCTTTTATGTATGTTAGACTAAATCAAGCACCGGTGGCGCTCTTGGATTCATACGATGCAAGCAAATTAGAGGAAGCAGTCGAAGCAGTTGCTCCAAGCGTGGGTTATCTGACTTATCAACAGAATCACTAGCAGTAATCACCCTCAGCACAGCCCTGCTTGCCGAAGTTCGGTCGTTTTTCAAATGCTCACGTCGGTATCCTCCTCGACCACGGCCTCAGCGCGTTTGCGCTTGCGGCGATCCAATCTTTCCTCGTCCCTCCGGCAAACGTCTGCCAATGTGTCCGGGCGATGCTTGCGGAAATCCTCAAAGCGGCTGAACTTGTCCCACTGTGGAGCATGATTCCTGGTGATGCTGTTCTCCTCCTCTAGGTCCAGAGGAGGCTTTCGCCAGGTAGCATCCTCCCAAAACCCTTTGCGCCGTCCTCGCCGTCGGGGTCTTTCGTTTGAACGGTGTAGTCGAGCTCTGTGCTCCGAGTCGCATCAGAGAAAACCCAATTGAGCACACGAACCCTCCGGCACTCAGGGATGGACTCCCAGCAGTAGCTGCGCAGCAATTGGCAGTTCTGCATGGTCCTAGTCTTGCTGCGAGGGCGCTTCTCGGGCACAACTGGGATCTGCACAATAGAGTGGGGACCTGCGGGGTTGGTTTTCATCGCCCTGCTGGCTGCAGCTTGGAGGACCTCCACGAGTTTGTGCTCCGAGTCGATGAAGGCACCGGGCGACATCAAGTGTTCTTTGAGCCAGCCTCGTACAACGCTGAAGATCTGGGCATCACAAGGGCCCTTCCCATGTTTTCCTTCCACTAAAAAAGATATCTTGCATCTCTGGCGATGCGTCTGTGGGATTTCCCCAAGCAGAGTGTGCTCTAGATTACCCGATACGGTCTAGTCCTAGGGTCAAGGGACTACATGATAGGGTTTGGCCAGGAGGGTGTAATAAGGAATTACTTAGGGTTTAGGGTTTAGGGTCTTAGGCTTCGCGGTTTTAGGATTTCGAGGGTTGCATGTTGTTCGTGCTTGCGGGGAAAGACTTCAACAAATGGGTTGGGGTTTCGTGTTCGGGGGTTTACGGGGTTTCAACCCTGAACAACCCCGTAACCCTAAACCCGAACCCACCTAAAAACCCTAAACCCTAAACCCTAAACCCTAAACCCTAAACCTACACCTTGAATCCTCAACCCTATCAGCCCCAGTCCCCAGACCCAACGCGGTTTTGGGGTTTCTGAGAGGTAAGCAACAAAACTATCCCGGAGGTCGCGAAAATAAAAACAATAACCCCAACGTGAAACAACTAAAAGGCCAAGAACCGTACGCAAACCCTTGACAAAAGCAATGTAAGACCCTCCACGACCCTAAAACCCAAACCCCCAACCCTCAACCCTTAAAAAAGGTCTACAAGACCCTCTCAAAAGCCCTAGAGTTCGCTTACGCTTGGGTTCAGGGACCCCGGTGTGGGGTTTATGCTTCAGGGTTCAGGGATTACGGCTGTGAGCTTCAGGCTCAACAGGAGCCTAACGAATCCAAAAAGCCACATCGGATTTGGTGTGCCCTAGGCTCTTTTCGAATTTGTACAGGATGTTTTTCGGTTTCTAGAGGGCTCCAAAGGATTTGGGAAGGCTTGGGATTCATGTGCGGCTGAGGGTTAAGGGCTTTGGTGCTGTAGGTTTGCCAGGTCTTGTCACGCCCACAACAACAACAACAACAACAACAACAACAACAACAACAACAGGAGTCACATGTCCTAACCTTCAGTTTTGATCATGAGACCGATACAAGCCATAAAGGCCCATGTTGCTATGTAGCTTTCATATGGGTAGTTATCTACATTATGCTCCTTTTTTTAGGTCCCACTATTGTACGGCACCCTTATAATTATAAAAAGGACACCAAAAGGGACCTGAATATAGAAAACTACGAGTATGTTATAATACTCTCGGAGCCTGAACGCCAAAACCCTAAAGCCCTAACACACTAAAGCCTATTTGCGTGGGGGTTTCGGGTTTAGCGGTTTAGGGTTTAGGGTTTTGAACCCTAGCCTTACCACCCTAAGCGTTAAAGCCGAAACCCCTGGACCCCAAGGCCTACACCTAAACCCTAAACCCTAAACCCGTAAACCCTACACTCCCACACCCTCGAACGCAAACCCAAAATACTAATCCTGGAACTCCAAAACCTGCGAACCCGAAGCTCCTGAAGCCCTAAACACTGAACCCTAAAGGGTTTAGGGTTTAGGGCTAGGGTTTAGGGTTTAGGGTTTAGGGTTTAGGGTTTAGGGTTTAGGGTTTAGGGTTTAGGGTTTAGGGTCCCCTGAAACCCTAAAGCCCTAAACGACCACTGCAGGCAAAGCCACATGAGCTCTGACTTGGCACCCGACTTCAAGCACCTGGGATGCCCAGTAACCTAGGAATAAAAAAGGGCTCCTTTTTTGGTATTGGGTACCTTTATAAGGACCCTAAACCCTAAACCCTAAACCCTACACCCTAAACCCCTAAACCGTAAACCCTGACTCCCAACCCAAAGAATCCAAACCCTAAATCCCTAAACCCTACACCCTGAACCCCAAACCCCAAAGAACCTAAACCCTCAACCCTAAACCCCTAAACCCCTGAACCCTAAGCTTAAACCCCAAAGAACCTAAACCCTAAACCCTAAACCCCTAAACCCCAAAGAACCTAAACCCCAAACCTCAAAGAACCTAAACCCCTAAACCCCTAAACCCTAAACCCCAAACCCCTGACCCCTATACCCCTAAACCCCTAAACCCCTAAACCCCTAAACCCTAAACCCTAAACCCTAACCCCTCAACCCCAAAGAACCTAAGACTTCAAAAAGGGAAAAAGGGCCCACTGCGAGACCCAGGCGCGCTTCGAAGGCCCGCCTCCCGGCTTTCGTAAGGCTTTTGAGGGTTGGGGTTTAGGGCTTCGGGGTTTAAGGCTTCTGAGGGTTTAGGGCTTTTAAGTTTTAGGGCTTTTAGGTTTTCAGGAGTTTAGGGTTTAGGTGCTTAGGGCGTCAGGTTTTTTAGGGGTTCTTAGGGTTTTGCGGGTTTAGGGTATACATAGGATTTAAGGTTTAGGTTTTTGGGGATTTAGGGGTTTAGGGTTTGGGGTTTAGGGGTTCAGGGATTAGGGTTTGGGGTTTATAGTAGAAGCCATAAAGTTGGAAAATTAAAATCCTCATCGGTTGAAGCTGAAGTATAAAGGATCCTAGCACTAGTCAGCTAAACCCATGTTCCTTGTTCCAACTTTGGGCTTTTGGCGACTATGGAATAGGTATGTCGTGTTGTTAGAGGCTTTTAGGGTTTCGGAATTTAGGGTTTAGATCTTTTAGGCTTTGAGGGTCTTTAGGGTTTTGGGGTTTAGGGTTTTAGGGTTTCACGTTTTTTGGGGAGTTTAGGTTTGGGGGTTTGGGGTTTGGAATTTAGGGTTCGCCAGCGCAGCTGGCGCTCCAGCCAACCCTCACTGAACAAGTCTAGTAACCCTTGAGCGTAGATCGGCCGTTGCATGGTATATGTCTATACCCTAAACCCTAAACCCTAAACCCAAAAAGACATACAAGTTATATACATATACATACACATAAGACCCTGTCAAACCCCTAAAACAATCAGGAAGCCTCATCAAACCGTGTGAAGCCTTGTTCATAACAAAAACCCTAGGAAAGCCCGATGAGCAGTTCCAGGGCGAGGCCCCCAAACCCCTACACCCCGGCCTCAAAGGTGGGATGAGGGTACTATAGGGGCCTTAATAAGAATAAACCCTCAACCCCAAAGCCCAAACCCTAAACCCTAAACTCCTAAACCCGCAACCCCTAAACCCCTAAAGCCTTAAACCCTAGACTCTAAACCCGGAACCCTAAACCCCAAACCCTAAGCCCTTTCCCCCAGCCGCCTGCAGACTGCCCAAACCTTGGACGCAGGACCCTCCACTACCGTGCCCAGCGCGTTCACCGAGTGCTTCAACTTGGAAGCCTCGTTTGGGTTTCGGGTTTAGGGTTTAGGGTTAGGGATGCCTCGTTTTGAATGCTAAGTGATCAGGCACATCATGGTCTTGTGTTTCAGGGATTTCGCAGTGTCTTTACGAAGGTCTTGTGGTTTCATAAAAATTTGCGAGGATTGTGTTATAAGGCGTTCTTAAAGGTTTTCTGTGGTTTTAACCTGGGTCTTATCTTACTTCCCCAATGAGCCAGGGAAATAAAAGCTTCAACTTTCAGATCAATACTAAGTTGTAAGAAGCCCAAAAGTTTAAAGGTTGCGAATTGGGCAACTAAGTTATAGAACCCTATAAATCCCTTTAAAGGAACCCTATAGACCCCTTCAAACGAACCCTATAGATCCCTTTAAAGGAACCCCTATAGATCGCTTTAAAGGAACCCTATAGATCCCTTTAAAGGAACCCCTACAGATCCCTTTAAAAGGAACCCTGGGACGAACGGCTCACCTCTTGAGGCTTGGGGCCTCGAGTCCCCGAGCTTCCTGGCGGCTTTGGGCAGTCAAAGGGTCTTGGGGTACTTTACCGTTTAGGGGTTGGGGGTTTAGGGTTTACGGGTTTAGGGTTTAGGGTTTAGGGATTTAGGGATTTAGGGGTTTAGGGGTTTAGGGGTTTAGGGGTTTAGGGTTTAAGCCATACACCTTCATTTGTACCATAAACTAAAGGAAACGACAGGTGGGGAGTTTAGGTTATACAGGGCTTCTATACGGCTTCCATAAAGGTATACAGACCTTCTATAAGGCTCCTACAACGGTAACTACCCACCTGAAAATGTCCTAGACTAAACCCTAAACCCTAAACCCCAACTCCCTAAGCCCTAAACCTCAATGCGACAGAGGACCCGAACAGGAGCCCCTAAATTTCAGCGATTGTTGACTAAGGGAGCCACCGGGTTTAAGGGTTTAGGGTTATGAGTTCTTATGGCTTGGTAGGGTTTAGGGTTTAGGGTTTAGGGTTTAGGGTTTAGGGTTTAGGGTTTAGGGTTTAGGGTTATGAGTTCTTATGGCTTGGTAGGGCTATTTATGTTTGCCTTCTGGCATCTTGAAAAAGGCCCACAGGATATGTCAATATCTCTCATAAACCCAGCGCTACTTTGCAGCTTAAGAAGGGTGTTAATAGTGCCAGTGATATGGATGCTTTGCAGCTATTTCTGCTCCTGCATCCTTCCTGAAAACATACCGCCCCTGTTATCCTTGAGCAATACTGAGTGCAGCTCAGATAGCAAAACCAAGATACAAAGGCCATAATAACTGGACTGGGATTTGGGGTATATTAATTATGCAAAAGCAATTGTTCAGGATTCTAGATGAACTTCAGGCCGGGGGCAACTTGACTGTCCAGTTCATGGTCCAACAAAAGTGGTGAGCGCAAATCTCGGAAAGGGTGTATAGAGTGCACGTTTTAGGGTGTAGGGTGTCCCAAACCCTTCCCAGAGGCCCGAAGTTAGCAACTCAATAATGAAGCGAAGCAGTACACCCGAAGAGGCACATCACTTCGGCCAAGAAACAGCAATGACTTTGATTGCCGCATCCACGTGCTTCCACTTGCTCTTCTGGTTGCCAGGTGGCGAGGGCAAGACTTGCAGATCTGCGATCAGCACCATGTGCCTGTGCCAATCGCACCAGTACGAAATGGGATTAGTAGCGGACGGCCTGGTTAAAGGAACCTCAAAATCAGACAGTTGCAATTCGGGTCTACCCCTTTACTCCCGCTACAACGGAAGCAACGGACGAGTCTTCCAGAGACATCCAGTTGCCAAAAAAAACCTGAACCCTTAAACAGCTAAACGCCTGCAGACCGTCCCGGGAGAGGGAAGATGTTGGTCTCCTCTGTCACCTAAACCCAAACCCCTAAACCCTAATAAATCCTAAACCCTAACCCCTAAACCCTAAATCCTAAACCCTAGAGCCTGAATCCAACCCCGGAAACCTCAACCTTCGGCCCCTTAAAAGGAACCCATAGCTGCTAAACCCCAACCCATAAACGCAATAGACCCCTTTGCAGAACCGTTAAGGGAACCCTTGGAGGAACCCAACCCCTTACAAGGAACCCTTCAAGGAACCCTACATGGAGGTTAGGGGGACTTAGTAATTAAGTAGGAGTAAGGTAAGATGTATTTATAACCCCACCCAGTCCCCTGATCCTCCAAGCAAACCGTTAAAACCTCAACCCCATAAACCCTAAACCCTAGACCCTAAACCCTATAAGCCCTAAGCATGCCTTCTCAAGGCAGCAAGGTCATCGCGTGCGATCTTTCGAGCCACGGATCAGCTTGCGGCTGTAATGTAAGGGCCTCGATAATAGGGTTCAGGGTCTCCTCTGATTTGATGGAACCGCGTCTGGACTGCCCGCAGCTCAAGACTTTTACAGCCCAAACGGTTTAGGGTTTAGGGTTGTGGACCTCAAAACCTGAAACTAGGCTACGAGGTAGACAGTTTAGGGCTGAGGGTTTAGAGTTTAGGGTGTAGGCTGTAGGTTCCTGATTGATAAACCCCTTTTCTTTACAGGCCCCAGCATTAACCTCGACCACTCAAGCTGTCAAACCTCCAACCTCACAATTGAAACCCCTAGAACCGTGCAAGGTTTTGGGGCTTAGGGTTAAAATGTTTCAGGTCTTGAGTTTAGGGTGTGGGGTCTAGCGTTGCGGGTATTTAACCCCAAACTTTTGGCTGCCTGAACTCCAGACCAGAAACATCCAAAACACACAGAAGGACATGGAAAAGATACAGGCCCTGCACATAATCTGAATGAGCTCAATTGATCAAAGAAAAGCAACGCAACAGTAGCAACCAAACCGGCCCGCTACTCACGAGTAGCAAAAATGGTCACAATGATGGCTCATGAGGGGCCGTAATAATTAAAATAAGGTTTCTGGGGCCTATTATACTATAAATATAGTAAGGAACCCCCAAAGTAGCATTGGTAATGATTTAGACCCCTGTAATTATCCTAACCCCTTAACCCTAAACGCTAAACCCTAAACCCTAAACACTAAACCCTAAACCCTAAACCCTTAATTCCGCACCCTGAGACGAACCCAGCCCCGACCCCCCCCCCCGAGGTTGAGACAGCGAGCCGCCGCCTCGTGGCCTCGTAGTGGTTTAGGGTTTAGGGTTTAGGGTTTAGGGTTTAGGGTTTAGGGTTTAAGGTTTAGGGGCTTTCGGATCTTGCTATGTCTAGGGTAGAACCCATGGGCCCCTAGTA